CACCACATGCCAGCCAGCCCCGCCCCCTGGTGGGCTGAACTGGCCACACACTAAAATAAATAAATAAATAAATAAAAAATAAAAAAAAATGCTTTCTTTAAAGAGTGCAGAAGTGAGACTATCTGCTTTCAAAATGACTGAGGTAAAACCAAATTATGCGGGCTCGATAAACTATGGCTGTGACTGGGTCTACCTTCAGTCTTTTTTTTTTTTTAAATTTTATTTATTTATGTGGGGGGGGGGCCAGCTCAGCCCACCAGGGGGTGGGGCTGGCTGGCATGTGGTGCTGGGGGATTGAACTGCAGTCCCTGTTCTCTGTTAAGCTTGTTCTAAGTAGGTGCTTTAGACCACTGAGCCATCTCACCAGCCCTACCTTCAGTCTTATCAATTATGTCAAATACAGTCACCTATAGCTGATTCCCCCTGCTCATCCCCAAAGGCTTCCAAGGAAGCTAAATGCTGGACAGAGGCTAGAGCAAGTCCCAAGAAGTAGAAATAAATCCCTGAAATCAAAGTCAAGATATGTTCTCAGGGTATTAGATATACTTAGAGCATATGTGTGCAAAGATCTAAATCAACTGTTCTGGGATCAGACAAGTTTGTATTTTTCAGGTATATTATCCCCCTTTCCAGATAAAGATACAGTAACTTTGCCCCTATTTTTTTCCCCAACTTCTTCTCTTTCCTCTTTTCTTCTTCTTCGTTTTTTTTTTTTTTTGGGTGGTAAGGGAGATCAAACTCAGGGCCTTGTGCTTGCCAGGCAGGCGCTTATGCTGCTGAGCTATATCCCTGGCCACCCAATTACTACTATTGTACAGTAGTAAAATAATTGCAGTTTTTTAAGAAAATTGCCATACTATTTTCCACAGTAGATACATTCCTATCAGCAATGAGTTTCAGTATCCACACATTCTGCTCAATACCTGCTGGGTAAGTCTCAATTTTAATAAAGTCTAGTATCTTTGATGAGAGGGGTAAAGCCAAACCATATCCACCAAGGAGTTAACTATTTTGTTTTCAAGGAAACTGTCTATTATGTAGACCTTTCAAAGCAGTCTTCATAGACTGGGCATGGTGGTATGCGCCTGTAATCCCAGTACTTGGGAGGCAGAAAACAAGAGAATCACTACAAGTCTGATCTATGTAGTGAGACCCTGTAGACCCTGTACTAAATACATAAACAAACAAACAAAAAAAGCAGTTTTCAAAGCATTAGGAGTTAAATGTACATTCTGATGCTAAGTGTCTTAAATGCTTGGATTTCAATACTGATCAGAAACAATCCTTGATAAATACCTCAGTAATGCTGACAAACTCCTGCTTGAAAGAAACAAAATATCTAAGCCCCTAGAATCCATGCCTTGAGAAGGCAGATGTCAAGATTTACTCAAGGTTCCTCCTTGATGATCCAAAACCTAGTAAAAAGCACAAAGAAAATCCACACATCATGTGTGTCAGTCTTAAAAGTGATGTCAATGCCCCAGAAGGCCTCATCCTTCTTTTTTTTTTTTTTTTTAAACTTTATTTATTTTTGTGTGTGTGGCCAGCTCAGCCCACCAGGGGGCAGGGCTGGCTGGCATGTGGTGCTGGGGGATTGAACCGCGGTCCCTGTGCTTTGTTTAGCTTAGCTTGTTCTAAGTAGGTACCTTAGACCACTGAGCCAT